TGCCATCTTAAATATGCACTTAAGCTGCCTGCATTCTAACTTACTGTTCTCATGGAGAACACCTGAAATTATGCATTTCTCTGATTTCAGAAAAAGAATCTGAAAGCATAGACAAAAATAAAGATTTCTCCAAACTTCTTCTCTGATGAGAGTTCTTGCAGTTATTTTTGACTCACAGAATTGGCGGCTGTACTAATTGATACTACCACTGCTCCCTCCATTCAGCTTCGGGGCGTAGTTCACCCAATTCTTTATCACTTGATCGTAATTTTCTTTTGAAAGGAATCATTCATGTGGTGATGTTTTGTTACACCCCAATAAACTTTGCCTGGAGATCAGAGGATAGAACGAGCCACTAGATTAAACATAGAGGCCAGGCAATGGTGGCACACACCTTTAATTCCAGCACTAGGAAAGAAGCGGTGGCAGGGAGGTATATAAGGTGTGAGGAGACAGGAACTAAAGGCTTTTCAGGCTGAGGAGTTCTAGAGGTAACACGTGGCAGTGGCTTGTTCCTTTGTCTCTCTGATCTTTCAGCAAAGTTTACTGGGGTGCACAATATATCACCGCACATTCATGTATTCAATGAATAATTGCTGAAGACTTTGTATATGTGCGTTGTGTATGGGTGTACATGTTTATGCATGTGTGAACGTGTGATGTGGGTACATGCGTACAGAGGTGAGAGGATGGCATCCCATGTCTTCCTCATTTGCTCTCCACCTTATCGTTTTGAGCCAGGATCTCTCGAGGAACCCGGACCTCTGGAACTCGGCTAGGCTGGCCAGTCAGCGTGATCACCCCTAGCTGTAGAATTACAGAATTGTACCACTGTGCATGGCTCCTTCTGCAGGTGCTGGGGATGTGAACCTGGGTCCTCATGCAAGCATTTTTGGCTGAGCAGTCTCCCCAGTCTGTTGAGTATCTATTAATTAATTAGTTTTTGAAGTGATGGTTTCTCATGAGCCACTTCAGTTTTTGTGACAGGACAGAGTATGTACGTGGGGAAAGCTAGTCTGACTAAGAAAGCTCTTCCCTCCCTATTATAACTATCCTACCTCATCTGGCTTCCTTATCTCCTTGGTGGAACATGCTTGCTTTTGTGTACTCTTGTTACCGTAAGACTCTAAGCAAACCGTCTTCTGCTAGTATGTTTTAAAAGTAAAAGAAGAAATGCCTCCCCCCCCATCTCATTTGTTCAGATAATGCAGAGGAGTGAGTGCAAAGTGCTTCCCTCTAAGATAATACACTGGAAACATTTCGGTGGGTGTGAATCATTCAGACAAGCATTCTTCACTCAAAAATAGAAACTTGTCTTATTTGTTCCAGATGTTGTACAGCTGCAGGGAGGTTAAAGCCAGTGGGCTTGTTTTCAGTGCAACCAAACTCTTAACTGCATTTGGGATTTCTTACCCCATGAACTCCTATTACTTGTTCTAAGAGCTGCACAATTTTCCTTTTCTGACCGCTTCCTTCCACTCACAAACAGCTGTTTCATGGGAACTGCACTTTAGAATGAATGAGGCTACATCTGTTGTGCAAAGGAAACACATCCTGTTTACCACTGTTTCTACCTTTCATTGATCGTGACCTCCTTAATTTGAGGCATCAAGTATTTCAGAGACAGTATCCGAAGGAAAAGAATAGGAGGGATGAGCCATGTCCTCATGGTGCTTTGCAGGCCCTGACCTGTCTGAATGACAAGATGTTCATTTTTGAAAAATTGGAAGAAAAATTATCATAAGAAATACTAAATATAAAAATGTGATTCTTATAATTTGTAGTTATTTAAACATGCACTTTATCATATTTCTTAGTTTCCTGGAAGTGTTATGTTGGGACTCATGAAATACAGAACATCAGGGCGCTTTGAAATGGTGAATACAAATTGTGTAGGGGACACACATGCAAATTTAATGCCTAGATTATAAAAATTAAAGTCTGTGTTATTCTACTTCTATTGGGAAGAGAAGGCCAGACCTCTTAGGTTACTGCTTTTCCAGGGAGAAGCTTCCTGAATTGTGGGTCATGGGCAAGCATGGAACCATGAAGTTTGTTCTTCTTGGGCTCAGTCAAGACCAAGTCTGAACATCGAGCTGATGCATTTGAGAGATTTGAGAGATCAGAGTTAAACAAATCCACTTCCTTCTGTGTCAGCACACAGGAAGACGATGTGAGTCTATCAAGGCAACATGGGTAAGTGAGTAGTGGCCTGCAAGTTTATTTCTGGATGTTGAGGCCCGTGTTTATTTCTAGAAAGTCTGACATCAATTTTATCTTTCTGGAGATGAAACAGATAAAATTAATCTACAATTGAAACCTGTAAAATTAAGAAATTATTCAGTTATCAACAGATGGCTCACTGACTCATTTTTGACTCAGCATTCACGAACTGGTTCTTTCTCCAAGATTTAGTGACCTTTTCCATCAAATTAAATTCTTTTCCTAAAAAAATAGAGGAAATTGGGTAATTTACGTATTGTTGATGAAGTTTGATTTCATGAATGATTTTGGAAGTGAGAGATTTTGTTAAGCGTGTTCAAGTAATTGTATGATTGATTCCTCAGAGCTCATGAAACTCTTTTCATGACGTGTGTACTTCAAGTACATCATTAATTAAAACAGAGCCCCGAAGTAGGTCAAATAATGTGTTGTTCAAATTTATTTAAACACGTTTCCCACAAAGTCATAGTGAAGTTGTTAATAATTTGAGGTTTTCCTTAATCATACCTCTTAGCTTCTAGAGGAAAACCTCTGTGAACGCTGTTTACTCAGCTTTCTGACCTAACATCATCTAATCACATGTTGATATTTTACATAGGAGGGTGCTGCTACAGAGAAGGCCTTTGAACAAGCTTTACTCTTCTCCGAGATTCCTCACAAATGTGACCCCACAGTTTCCAGTTCCTCGTTTGTGGTAAAGAAAGGAGTAGAGTTTCCTCTAAAGGACATGGCACCGCATAGAAGCTCCTTAGCTATTTATCCAATATCTCCTTTCCCTAGACCCAGAACCATGTTTTCAGTTAGGTGCATGGGGACCTAAAAAAAAAAATAGGACACTGCCCAGACTTTCAGATAGCTGGATAGGCTACATCTAGCCACACATGAGCCATGGAACATGAGAAAATTTATGCAGAAACTTTTGGGAAATTTCCTTCAAAGGCAGCAAGAGCATAACTTTTGTATATTTTCATGTCTCTCCAGTGGTCTGTTTTGCCCATGCTTAGAGATTATTTGGGCTCCAGAACAGTTCACACTGGTCCTGGTTCAAGGTCCAACCTTGGATGCAACTGTCTAAATTGTGAAACAAAAGACAAGCAGCTTCTGTGCAGCTGGATATGGTCTTTAACTTGAATGTGATCACAATCAACACTATTTCTTGTACAATTTCATTCATTCGTTCTTTGGACCCTTAGTTATTGAGCACTTTGTGTACGACAGAATCTGTGTTAAGTGAATGTGAAATGAGTTTTTGACTTTATATCTCTAAAACCTTCAGAAAAAGATTTAGAATCCAACTGCCCATACTTTGCCTTTGGCTTCTCTTTGCCTCTATCACATGCATGTTCCATAATTCTTATGTTTTTCATTCTGGAACATTATTTTCCTTGCCTTTGCCTGTTAGACTCTCATATGAATAAACAACACCAACAATAAACCCAAATGAAAATCAAAGGCAAAAGTTATTAACAAAATTAATAAACACCCAAACAACTCCAGCATATAGCAATGTTACTCAATATTTTAACTTTTATCCTTAGACATACAAGTGATGATCAAAATTTATGATGTGATTTTAACTTTTGAAAATATTTAAGATGTAAATACTTGCTCTTGATAAAATTCAAAGTATCATTGGCCATGTCTTTAAAATATTTTAATGAAACATTTTCTAAAGTAATACTTAGAAGTATATAAACAGAAATATTTATTTTTCAATTGTTGTTTGTTGTTTGACAGGTTCTCTCTTTGGCCAAGGCTGGTCTAGCGGTGTTCACTGTGTACCTCAAGCTGGTCTTACTTCATAACAAGCCTCTGCTTGAGTCTCCAAGTTACTGAGGTTATAGGTAAAAACCATATTGCCTGGCTTTTTTGTCACATTTTTTTCAATGTTAGTCATTTAGTGAAGGATAAGAATCCTGGGTTGTCTTAGTTAGGGTTTCTATTGCTGTGAAGAGATACTATGACCATGGCAATGTCTACTCTTATAAAGGACACATTTAATTGGGTAACTTACAGTTCAGAGGTTCAGTCCATTATTGTCATGGTGGGGCATGGTAGTGTGCAGGTAGACATGGTGCTGGAGAAGTAACTGAGAGTTCTATATCTTGTGTGGGCAAAAGGAAGTGGTCTGAGACACTGGGTGTGGCTTGAGCATTCAGACCTTAAAACCCCCTGCCACAGTGACACATTTCCTCCAACAAAGCCACACCTCCTAATAATGCCACTCCCTTTGGGGCCATTTTATTTTGAAGCACCACAAGGGTACAAACACAAGGTTAAGAATCCCTCTCTACTGATACCTCCAATGTAAAGTCTAGACCCCTAAGGATCAGAGCAAACAGACTATCAACTTCTCTCTAATCTAATTATGCTCTAGGCAGGGAGAAATATTCCCACTTAGAAGTTCTACTTCAATCCCACATGAACTCTTTCTTCTCTTAATCTTCCAAACTTCTGAGGAATACTTCCCTCCCTCCCTTCCTTCTCCCTTCTCCTTCCCTCCTTCCCTCCTTCCCTCCCTCCCTCCCTCCCTCCCTCCCTCCCTCCCTTCCCCCTCTCCTTTCCTCCCTCCCTCTCTCCTTTATTCCCTTTCTGTTCTCTCCTTGTATTTTCTTTCTTTGTGAATGTTCATGTTTCAAAGCAATTTTTCACCTCTAAGTTACAAAACAAACAACACAAAACTTCCAAGCCTAAGGGTGTCAGACGTTTAAGGGATTTTTGACTAAGTAGAAACACAACACATTTTGAAGAAATAGGTGAGTATAAGTCATAATTACCTTTGGGTCAACATTGAGAATTTTTCTGTCTCTTTTATATTTAAAAAGTAAGCCTTCAGGATTGTCAGCAAGCACTTGATAATTTGGACTTGAGTTGCAAACAGCAATATGATTGTCCCAGTTGTAAAAGCTATAAAAATAAACATTTATAAAGAATTAGGATTTCTAACACATTAAAATGATACACACTTCAGAAAATATTTGGGACAGTTCATCCCCAAGAATAACTATGAGGAACACATCTGAAATTTGAATTCTAGCTGAAAGATTATGTGAGGTTACTCTCCAATCATTTAGATACATATTTATAATGATTTTACATGATTTCCTGGTTTTTGGACACTGTAACTTAGGACTTATTCTAGTATTATATTCGCAGGAAGTCAAGGAGAAAATTGATGCAATTTAAGATTATTTGTTGCACTGTAGACTCTTCGGGGTATAAAAAGACTGTTTAGTGGAAAGAAGGGCAGACAAAGTCATCTCTTTCCATTCAAAACAATTTCACATTGATTTATTTCTTCCAGGGTTTCTATTTCGATTCATTTCCCCGGGAGTGGAGGAACTGTATGTTTAAGTGGTTATCACAGGATAGGCATGTCTTGGTATATTCTAAGAGGATATCCATATGAAGGTGCTCTCATTTCAGAGGACAGGAGGCTAGAAAAGGTGGCCAGCATGGTCAAGGTATTGCAAGTTACATGTCATATGGATAACATTCCAGCTCAAACTTGTGTGTTTCAAAGCATACCTATGCTCTTTCAACTATCCAAGTATTCTAGCATTTTATCTTTAAAAACATTCTATGGAGGATTTCTAGCTTTTTCCACGTGTTATTTTTACTTGTCAACACTGAATACAGTACTGCCCTTTAAACTGAAGGATTCCTCAGTGCATCTTCTTTAGTGTGTGTTACTCTTATCCAGACATTTTTAATGGTATGCTCACTTTTAAAATGGCAAAGAGCAAGGTGAGTGTATGGTTTATAGACCTAGCTTTCAAATATGTGTAGTATGCACTTTTAAAAAGACTCATTTTGTGTGAGTCCAGGTATAAGGGGAGGCCAGAGGTGTCAGATCCCTTCGAGCTGTAGTAAAAGGTGGTTGGGACCTGTCAGAACAGAGCTAACATCCTTTGGGAAGCATGTTCTTTACTGTGGAACCATCTCTACAGCCCTTGCTGTCTTTTTCATTAGTTTCCCCAGATTCTACCTCTCAGTTGTTTGGCCCACTACTCTTCTTTCCTTCTTCTGAATGAGATGTCTTCACTGGTTAAATTCTCTCTGAATTGTTACGTTGTTTGGAGGAACCTGGGTATTACCTATCACCTTTGTGTTACTATCTGAAAACAGTAACTTGCCAATACCCAGAATCACTTGCACAGATCCTGTGCTTTTTGTCATTGGGCAGGTAGATCTGGATGAGAATGGCTACCCTTTCTGAGGCGGGGTGAGAAGAAATGGCTTCCGATCATGTCTATGCTTTCATCAGTACTTAGAAAGCACCAGGAAGCTCCTGCTTGGATTTGGGCATCTCACCATCCTTGCCCACCCTTCAGCTGGTACCCAAGAATAACACTAGCATGATAGGTTCAGTCTCCAACAGGACAAGGGCAGCAGGGGAAAGGCTGAGTTCTGGGGATTTAATGGCAAATGCATAGCAGCGTCTTGGCAGCTAGTTCGACACTGCATCCTTCCAAACTAGGTTTTCTAATTCAGTTTCACCTGAAGAGAGAAGATAATTTGACCTCACCTTACTGACTTTCAGTTAAGAGATTGCTAGATTAGAATGGGGGACACGATGTGACTTTCAAACTTGACATGTGTGTCTAAATAATTATTTATGAGATATAAAGATATAGATAATCCCATCACAGCTCCTGAGTCATAACTGTGCTTACAGTGGCATGGTTTGTATCTCACATTCCAATCTTGTTGCTCAGACATCAGGTTAAGCCTTATGGAAACACAGTCAGACTTTATTAAAAATACTCTTCATATAAGAAATTGAATTTGTGTAGTGCGTGGTGCTTTTGATGAAACCATTTGGTTTGCCAAATGCTTTCTCCTCCTAAGTAGCTTCATTTTTCTATCAATTCTCATAGCGAATGATCAGCATTTAATAAGGAGAATTACTTAACAGCAGCTGCTGGGTCCTGTTGTAAGCCTAATGAATTGCCTCAGTTTCTCACCAACCCCAGGAATCAGGTACAACACCAGCCCCCTGTACACAGAGGATGGACAAGGAAATTTCCCCGCCCCCAGATTTTAAGAATCCAGCCTCTTGCTCACATGCCCCGCTCCCTTCTCCGGAGCAGGCTTCAGCTTTGGGAAGCTCTTCGACAGAGGATAGCCAGTTACGGACATACAAATGTGTAATTTTTTCCATGAGCAATTCATAACCCAACTCTTCCTTTCTGTGCAACCACACGATAGAGATTTAGCCAGTGGGGCATGCACAGAAGTCATATTTGCCACTTTCCATCGGTATCCATACAGACATCCACGTTCTCCTCTTCTTCTAACCAGCTGAAAGGAGAGGACGGGAAGCCAGATGCTGAAGATATGTGGAGTCTCATGAAACATGAGGACTAAAGGATTGAGCTAGCCTGACCGTACTAGTGTAGATGGTTTGGCATGGTCTCTATGTTTGAAAATAAAAAAAAAGGAAATCATATACAGTGTATGGCTCCAACATGTGGGCACTTGTTAGCATTACTTGTCAACTCATTCCTCCTCCATGCAATGATTAGCGATGCTTCTTTTATCATGTTTTAAAAATGATAATGTGTGTTTCCAAGCTTCTCCACGTTCTGTTCATACCAGTATTAAAAAGATGCTTAGTCAAAAATTGTAGAATATTTAATGTTTGGTGAATCAAACTTTACACCATTGTGAATCTTACAAAAATAAAAATTTTGTCTAGTGTTCCTTCCTAGTTTTATTTTAATGATTTGGAATTAAGTGTATAATCTGCTGCTTCATGATTTCAATCCCTATTGTGAATACATCTAGTCTTTTCTGCCTACGATGATACCTGGAGGAAAAACCACCTAGTATTAGTTGAATGAATGGCTTAGCTGGGAAGAACTTAAATTTCACATTATTCTTTGGAGTTTTATATATTATCATTGCTCTGTACATTATTATTATGAACTGGGTACTATGGTGACATTTTATTTGTGCTGAAATGTGATATTTTATTTGTATGTTAATAAAGTTTGCCTAGAGATCAGAGGTTATAGCCATAAACAGAAGTCAGGCTGTGGTAGCACACGCCCTTAATCCGATCACATGGCAGGCAGAGTCTTTGTGTGGTCAAGGATACAGCTAAGCATGGTGACACACGTCTTTAATCCCAGTACCAACCATAGAGACCTGGAGGTCTGTATAGACAGGAAGTAACAAGGAAGTGATGTGGCTGAGCTTAAAGCCAATGAGAAGGCAGAACAGGAAGGCAATAAAAGCACAGTTTAGACAGGAAGAAGCTCTCTCTCTGGGCAAGCTACTGCGTGGTGTAAGCTAAGGCTAGTCATGGCTATTTGCTAGTTCTCTGATCTAGCTATTACCCCTGTATTTGGCTCTGTGTTTCTTATTTAATAAGACTATTTAGAAATTTGTCTACATTTGGCGCCCATCTTCAGGAAGATGTATGTTGTTGTTTATTCTTATGTAAATATTTATTTTGCATACAGCTATTCTGAAGTCAGTTTCTTATTAGTTCTAACTATTTCCTCCATTTGATTCTCTGGGTTCCTGGTGATGGTAACACTAACAATGATAAGACATCCTTATTTCCAATGCAAGTCTCCTGAAATGTTCAGATGTTCTTGAGTCAACAAGGAATCTAGAAACAATAATTATGTCAACTAAAAAAAGCACAAAATTATAGCTAAAAATAATAAAGTATTAAATTTTATTGAATAATTTTCAAGCTTTGCTGATTCTTATACTTACCGAATTTTGCAACAATTTTATTTTTTCATTTGCAAATATGAATTATAAAAATTTGTTTTATTTTGAATGAAAACAAATCATATAATTTATTTTAAATTACAAATTATATATTTCCCCCTTCCATTTCCTTCCCCGTATTCACCCCAAGACCTCTCTCAAATTCACAGCCTCTTTTTCTCTTAGTGTTACTGTTACATGTGTTACACATATATGAATACATATATGAATACCACCTGCTGTGTCAATTTAGTGTTTATGTCTAAAGGGATGACCACTTGGTATTGGATAACCAATTAGGGGAAGACAAATTTGACAATTTTAATTTCAAAGAAAAGTTTTTATGTCATTAATGTTGTTCTTATTCTTATGTCTAAAGCATCACTTTTTTCCAAACAATTTAAGTTAATTTTTTAAATAAAATCTGGGATAAGATACAAATTTTTCTTTAAGTTTTGGCATCTGCTAGGTATCATACTTCTTGGGGGGAAAGACAATATATTATTAGATGTTGAAGATAAGGGAGATAAAGAAATTAAAAAGAATCCCCAGATATTTTTTAATTCATAAGGTTTTAAATTTAACATTAACTGTGGAGGGTTGGCTAGAGATGGCTCAGGGGTTAAGAGCACTGGTTGCACTTTCAGGACACCCAGCTTTAGTTCCCAGCACCCACATCATGGCTCAAAACTGTAACTCCAGTTTCAGGGGATCCAGTGCCCTCTTCTGCCCTCCATCGGCATGAAACATACATGCAAGCAGGACACCAATACATACAAACAACTCTAAATAAAACCAAACTAAAATATTCTATAACAACACTAATTAGTACACATGACATTCTTGTCAGGTTCTATAGTTAATATGTCTCTATGAAAGAAAATGTTTTGTGGATACAAAGGTTTTACACATAAAACGCTAGCACTGTGTGTTTTTCATGATCCTTCTGATACAAATCTGAGTCCTCTGGGTAACTTATTAATGATAAAGGCGCAAGTCCTCAGTACCCATCCATGTGCTTTTATCTCCCTTTGCCTTCAGGTCAGCTAAATAATTTAATTAAGTCTTTAGTTGATTGAAACACAGGAGTAGGAGACTGGGTAATCTAAATTCTTGAATAGGTTAGATCCTTATGTTCTCTGTGATTAAATGCAATATTGAAGTAGATTAAATTTACA